CCAGGATACTGGGAAGACTGTTTATGTTGTGGATTAGGACTTCTAGTGTTGTTCCTAGCTTTTCTGTAATGAAGTTTATAGTCCTTGGTTTTAGTCAGGACTCCTTTCTTAATCACAAAGGTTCTGAGGCACAGAGAGGAAGGGGGTGTCGAGGGAGAAGGACGTGATGGGAGGGAGACTTCTCTGATGCTTCCAAGAGGGAGGAGGTGGCCTCGAATGGAGGAAGCGGAAGGCTCTAGAGGTCGGAGTAGGAGCTGTTGTTAGTGCTCCATGGCCGGCTTGGACTCCCAGGAGCCACACACACAAAGCCTCCCGATCCTGCCCCCACCCATGTCTGCTGCGCTGAGCCCAGCTTCAGTCGCTGTATCTGTCCATCGTGCTGACCCTCCTCGTTCCGCAGCATGAAGTCCTGCTCTGAACCCCTCCTGAGAACATGCCCAAAGCATGTGAGCTGAACCTTCACCCCTTCACCACCTGCACCTCTAAGAAGCCTCCGGGCTGTCATTCTTCCAGGCCAGATGTGTCTGTTCCTTTGTCCACCGCTCTGTCACCACCACAGTGCAGAGGCCTCTGTCCTTCTGCGGTCTTCCTGCTGTCTGAGTGAGGAAGACCAGAAAGAGGGAGGAAACAGTCCCCCTCCCCAGAACTTCCTGAGGAGCACACAGCTCGGGGACACGCTGGTGTTCGCCCAGGGGGACCGTGTCAAACTCCTCACCCGCAGGGCCGTGAGGAAGTATGCTTGCCCTAATGCAAACCCCAAAATGTTGGTTAGGGTAATTGATGGTTGAAGGGCAATGCACAGACTGGTGCCATTGAGTATGACTCAGAGCGACCTTCTGAACAACAGCTCTGATCCCTGTCCTGTGCTGTCCTCACACCTCCTGACACTCTTGAGCCCACTGCTGCAGTCACTGTGTCAACCCATTTGGTTGAAGATCTTTCTGTCTTTTACTGACCACCTTTCCAAGGATGTTGTTCCTCTCCAAGGAATCGGGTCTCCTAGTGACATAGCCAAAGCACGTGAGAGCAACCTTTGTCATTTTTGCCTCCAAGGAGCACTCTGGCTGCTCCTTCTCCAAAACATACCTGTTTGTTCTTTTGACAGTCCATGGGATGTTCAGTGCTCTTCTCCAACACCACGGCTCAAAGGCATCAATCTTCCTGTCACCCTTAGTCACTGTCCAGCTCTCACATGCATCGTAAGTGATGGACAAGACCATGGCCTGAATCAGGTGCACCTTAGTCTTCAGAGTGACATCATTGCTAGGGGAGAGAAATCACACAGTCATATCCATGAATGAAGAAAAAAAAATCTCTGATAAAATTCAGCCTCCCAAGAACTTCAGGGGACAGTGAACTTGGGTGTGGAAGACCCAGAACAGGGAGGTGAGAATGACCACACATCTCAGAGAAGGCCACATGTCCCTGAATTGTGCTGGAGAAATCATTGCCCTGGTGTATGGTATGCTAAGCAGATTTTCAACAATAACAAAATATTTTTTTTAAAAAAGGAAAAGTATCCAAAATAAAAACTTCCTGCAAACCAGAAATAGAGAGTGTCCCCAGGGTAAAAAATGGTGCTATGGGTTGAAAACTTGGACGTTCAAATCCACCAGAGGCGCCGTGGAAGAAAGGCCTGGTGATCTACTTTGGGAAAAATATTAGCTATTGGAAGCCTGATGGGAACAGGAGGGTCATCGGAGGTCAGAGTTGACTCGAGGGCAGCTGGATTTTGGTGCTGTGTCCTCCTGCATGTTCCATCAAATTCAGACAGCAGAAAATCACAGAACTCCTTGATCTCTTCATCTTTGGCTTTCCTGATTGGCACGTGTATTTGAATAATGGTTGCGTTAACGGGTCTTCCTTGTCCCCTTTTGGTGGTATCGTACCATTCAGAACATGGTACTTCAGGAGAGATCCTGAAATGTTCTTTCTGAAGATGAACGTGCACTGTTCTCTTCAATCTGTCATTCCTGGGATGATATATCATATCACTGTCTGAGTCAGAATGGTCAGTGACAGTCCCTTTCGGCTGGCTAGTGCCTGACGAGGGATATCACTGGTGATGTCACACGGATCTTGGCTGACAGCAGAGAATACTGGAAAGATGTTGCCTTGTGCTTTCCTAACAAATTACAGCTTAACATTGAGAAGAATGGGAATCCCAGAACATTTAATTGTACCCGTGGGAAACCGGGACCTAGACCAGGAAGCAGTTGTCCGAATGGAACGAGGGAGCACTGCATGGTTTCAAATCAGGAACGGTGTGGGTCAGGGTTGGAAGCTCTCTCCACACACAGTCTGTACGCTGAGCGAATCATTTGAGAAGCTCGAATCTATGAGAAGAGTGTGGCCTCAGGACTGAGCCTGTCAGAGGCAGTGAGGACGGCGCAGGGTAGAGGCAGGTTCCCACCTGTTGTCCAAGGGTCGCTGTGGGTCAGGTGGACGCAGTGGCACCTACAATGGCCCTGTCCTCCTGCCTGCCCACACCACCTCTCCCCTGGCTCCACGCTCGCTCTTCCTCCTGGGCTGTGCCATGGGGTCCCTATGCCTGGCGCCCTGTACCCCCTTCCTGCAAGCCCCCAGCGGGTCCCTCCACCTCCCATTCCCAGCAGGAGTTCCCTGGGAGAGCTGGGAGCGGGATTTCCCGGTCCGCCCCGCCCCCGGATTGGCAGAGGACAGGCCTGACGGGCTGACAGCAGAGGAAATTCCCCGGGAACCTGTTTCTCTGCTTCCTGGCCTGGCAGGGGCGCCCAGTGCAGGGACAGGCCGGCCACAGACCCTAGCCCGCTGTCATGGCCTCGGCCCTGAGCCCGCCTCGTGCCCCCAAGCCCAAGAGCGCCCCACCTTCTCACTACCATGAGAGCTTTCTGGAGAAGAAGGGGCCACAGGATCGGGTGAGCAGACTTCCCTGCGGGGCGCCCGGCAGGTGTGGCACCTCGCTGGTCTCCCAGGCAGGAGCGGGGCACCTGTGGGGGGCTGGACACAAGCAGGGCCTGAACCAGGGCTGGGGCGCCCGTCCCTCTGTCTGTCTACCAGTCTGAGTCCTGCTCGGATTTGATCTCTGTCTCTCTGCCTGTCTTTGCCTGTCTCCATCTGTGTCTGTCTCTCTGCTCCTGTTTGTCTGTGTCTCAGCCTCTGGTGTCTCTCTCTGTGTGTCTGTCTCTGCCTATGTCTCCCTTGGTTTCTGTCTCTCTTTATGTCTCTCTCTTTCTCTGTCTCTTTGTCTCTCTGTCTCTCTCTCTCTCTGTTTCGGGTTTTCTCGCTGTCTCTCAGATACAAACAAGACCAGGAACTTCCTCCAGGAAACGGGGAGCTCTCTGCACCCTGTGCCTCCTCTCGCTCCTCAGTCCTGGCCCAGAAATGCCTTTGTGAACTTTAATCACAGAGGTTAAGGCCCGGCCGACTGCGAGGCTGTGTGTGGGGCCAGAAAGCGCACATTCAGGATGACTGGTGTGTGTGTGTGTGTGTGTGTGTGTGTGTGTACATGCATACACACTTGGTGCCTGCCCCTCAGTCCCCACAAGGTCTCATCCTCATTCCCCTCCTCCCTTGGCCTCGATACTCTTGTTTCTGACATGACCCTCTGCCCTCTGACCACCTCCAGGCCACCCACAACGCAGACCTCTCATCCCAGAATGCTGTTCCCTCAGCTCCCTGTCTGGGGGACCATCCCCAACTATCAGGGCCTCTGCAGGCAGTAGGTTATAAAGGTTCAAAAAGTTCCTAGCCCTCAAGTTCAAAGGACCTGAGTTTAAGTCTCCATCACAGTGAGGTCTTACACAAAGGAGTCTAACACTCTGAGCCTCAGTTTCCTCACCTATGAAGTGGGTGAATAGGGCTGCAGCCACAAGTTCAGGGGTGGGGTGGGGCTGCAGCCACAGATGCAGAGGTGGGGGTGCTACAGGCACAGATGTGGGGGTTGGGAGGCTGCAGCCACAGATACTGGGGGAGGGGGTCTCTCAACAGGCTAAGGGCCTGAGACAGACCTAATACTATAGGGGCACACGTGTGACCTCACCCACCTCCCCTGACTCCACTGAAGTCATTGGTAACTGATCACTGGGTTGATAATAATGGTATTGTTTGTATCATTTCAATTCTATAGATGGGAAAACTGAGGCATGATGAGCTTAAATAGTTTGTGCAATGGAACATAGCTGTATGTGAATGAGTAGATCTGACTTTGTGAGCTGAGTGGTTTTAGTCATTCTGCAATTTATTTTTTATTACACACAGTAGTCTCTCAGTAAATGCTTATTAAACATATGTATGCATGTATGTATATATGCACGCATGTATGTATGTATGTATGGATAGGTATGGTCATAGAAGAAGTGGGTGAAACCCAGGGATTCGCGATGCAAAGAGTACCAGAGGAATGCCCGTGTTTCATTGACTTTGCAAAGGCATTTGACTATGTGGCTCACAGCAAATTGTGGTTGACCTTGAGAAGACTGGGAATCCCAGAACACTTGCTTGTGCTCATGTGAACTCTATACTTGGACCAGAAAGCAGTTGTCAAAATAGAGCAAGGAAACACTGAATAGTTCAAAGTCAGGCAAGGAGTGCATTTGGGATGCATCCTGTCTCCATAACTTTTCAATCTCTATGTGAAACAGATAATTTAGGAGGGGTGTGGCATCAGGGTTGGAGGAAGATTCATTAATAACTTATGATATGCAGATGACACAGCTTTGCTTGTTGAAACTGAGGAGGACCTGAAGCATTTGCTGCAGAAGGTCAAGGTTACTGTAACCTTCAATACGAATTGAAGCTCAGCGTAAAGACAACAAAGATTCTCACCATTGGGCCAATTGGCAGCATCTGCTAGATGGAGAAGAGACTGAGGTTGTTAACAATTTCAGCTCGCTCAGCTCCACAATCAACATTCTTGGCATCAGCAGTCAGGAAATAAAAAGATGAATTGTATTGGTGAAGTCTGCTATCAGGAATCTCTCCAGAATACATACTAAGGAGCAATGATGTTAGTCTAGGGACTAAAATGAGCCTGATCCAGGCCATGTCTTCACAATTACTTGCTATGCATCAGAGAGCTGGACAATAACTAAGGATAACAGAAGGAGAATTACTGCCTTTGAGTTGTGCTGGAGAAGAGTATAGAACATATCCTGGACCACCAAGAGAACAAAAAGGTCCATATTGGAGACAGTAAAACCAAGTTTCTCCTTGGAGGCTAGGACTTTGAAGCTCCATCTCACAATTTTGGGCATGTGGCCAGAACGGACCGATCCTTGGAGAAAGATCATGCTGGGAAGGGTGTAGGGATAGCACAGGAGAGGAAGACCCTAGAAGAGAGGATTGATACAGTAACTAGGGCAGTGGGGTTAGGTGTGTCAGTGTCAGTGAGACTGGCTCAGGACAGGGCTGGGTTCAGAGGTGTCATACATAGGGTTGCTATGAGTGGCAGCCAAGTTGATGGCACACAACAACAACAATGTGGATAGACAGATAGATAGATGAATGGATCTATTAGTGGGTTAATGGGATGAGTGTGTTTTGAATGAATGAATGGATGAATGGATGGACAGATAAAGGGATGGGTGGAAGGATGAATGAGTAGAGAGATGAGTAGTTGGGGGATGAATGAATGGGTTGATGAAGGGATGGGTGGATGAATGCATGAAGGAATGTGTGAGTGGGTGGGTGGGTTAATGGAGGGATGGGTGGATTGAGAGATGGATAAGTGGATGGAAGGATGGATGGATGGATGGATGGATGAATGCATGGAGGGATGGGTGGGTAAGTGGACAGAGGGATGGGTGGATGGGTAAACGGAGGTACGGATGGATGAGTAGACTGAGGGATGGATGGATGGGTGGGTGGATCGAGGGATGGGTGCATGGAGGAATGAGTGGATGGAGGGATGGATGGATGGGTTGATGATAAAAGCATGGAGGGATGTATAGAGGGATGGGTGGATTGAGAGATGGATAGGTGGGTGGAAGGACAGATGGATGAATGCATGGAGAGATGTGTGGAGGGATGGGTGGGTAAGTGGACAGAGGGACAAGTGCATGGGTAAATGGAGGTATGGATGGATGGGTAGATGGAGAGATGGATGGGTGGATCGAGGGATGGGTGCACGGAGGGATGAGTGGATGGATGGATGGATGGATGGATGGATGGGCTGATGATGAAAGAATGGAGGGATGTATGGAGGGATGACGTTGGTGAGTGGATGGATGGCGGCATTGAAATGAGTAGGTGGAAGGACAGAGGAGTGGATTGATAAGTAGGTGGACAGAACACCATGAACTATCCACTTAATTCTAGCCCTAGTCATGCCCACATGTTGGGAGGCTGCTTCAGGCTGGCCATTCAGTCAAGGTTCCCTTCTGGCCTTACCTCCAGCTCCGAGGTCATAAGTGGGAGTGGGAAGACCTTTGACAAGACATCACGTGGTCAAACCCACAAAACTTGTGATGAAGGTAGAGGAAGGAGGAATGCCATCCAGGTGGGGACAGTGCACAGGCCCGGGGGCAGGGTTTTGGAGGTGTCATATTTTGCCACCTCATCGCCTTCTCTTCCTCTCCTTCTGGTCTCAGGATTACAGGAAGTTCTGGGCAGGTCTCCAGGGTCTCACCCTTTATTTCTACAACAGCAATCGTGACTTCCAGGTAAGGATGTGGTCCTCGGAGGTGGTCCTCCCTTGACCCCAGGGGCCCAGTGGGAATGTGGGTGATGTTGCTGAGGGGCAAAGAGTGTGATGCTCAGACCTCATACCTCTTGGCCCCCAGCATGTGGAGAAAGTGGATCTGGGAGGATTTGTGAAGCTCACAGATGAAGCCCCCTGGGGGAGCATGAGGGACTCTGGAGTCCATTTCAGCCTGGTCCTCCGGAACCAGGAGATCAAGTTCAAGGTAAGTCTCTAGGATATTAATAGAAGAAACCCAGCCCCTATTACACTACTAGACACATATCAGCAGGCTGTGGTGAGCCTGTCAGAGTGACCTCGGACAAGCTACTCACCCTTCTGGGCCTTCATCTCCTCAACCACAAAATGAATGGTGTGAGGTGTGAGGTGTGAGGTGTGAGGTGTGAGGTGACTGGCCCCAGACCTGATCCACATGGAGCATCAGTGCCCTCATTCATCATTCAGCAAATATTAATCGAACACCTGTGTGTATCATATGTCCTGGGGAACGTGCAGCCCAGGTGCTCCTTGGAGGCAAGGATGGCCAATCTTTATCTCACATCCTTTGGACATGTCGCTAGGAGAGGCTATTCCTTGGAAAGGGACATCATGCTTGGGAAGGTGGAGGGTCAGCGAAGGAGAAGACCCTCAACGAGATGGACTGAGGTGGTGACTGTAACAACGAGTTCAAGTATATAAGGGCTGATGAGGATGGTGCGGGGTAGGGCAGGGTTCTGACCTGTTGTCCACGGGGTGGCTATGAGTTGTACTTGACTCCCGGCCACCTAACACCTGTGTGCCAGCTGCTGTTCTAGTTAATGAGAGCTGGGCCTGCGAAGAAGACAATAAAAGATTCTGGTTCTGAAACCAGGCTTCCTGATGGGCTAGAGACTGGTGGAAGCCCCAGCCCATATGGCCCACAGTCACCCTTCAGACTTGGATCTGAACCGACCTTTGTGGCTCAAGTTAGGGTCAAACAATAGACACACTTATCAGGTCAACAATTACTCCAGGAAGGCGCTCGCTCCTCCCAACAGTCAACCACTGGAGACCGAAAGGGCAGCACTTGGTCACGAACAAAGTTCAGAAGGCAGGAAAAGTTAGGAAGGAAGGAGGAGAAGAGGGAAACACGGCAGGAGCTGGATGAGTAACGTTCCGTGGTGGAGACATCAGTCAACATCCCGAGACAAAAAGCACATTAACTCTCAGATGGAAAATTGATCTGCTTCATCAGCCTTCACCCAGTTCTCTCTCTCTCCTCTCCCTCTCTCCTTTCTGTCTCTCTTCTCTCCCTCTCTCCTTCTCTCTCTCCCTCCTCCTCTTCC